CCCCAAAACCCCAAAACCCCAAAACCCCAAAACCCCAAAACCCCTAATTCATTAAAAGATATTGAGATTGATCAATAGTCTCATTGAATCCTTCAGAAATGTGTCAGATCAACTAGTTAAAACTCTTGGTTTGCCAGAATTCTATGCATTATCGATTAACCTTACCTCTCAAATACCTTAACCATTTTCTGCTCTGTGTTTGTATGAGTTGCTAACTTCTGTTCAATTTGGCAGACGCCTAACTCTAAGATGGTATCTCTGATCTTAAAATATTTCAGAGCTAGGTTCGTCCATTGAAACATGTAAGAGGCACAATGAGAATAAGGCCGAATTGTAGCTACACTTAGGTCAGAGTTGTTTCTGAGGATTTTCTTACACTCCTTGATTTGATCAGGAGCAACCTCTGAAATATCGAAGTTATTGATCAAAGCTTTAGTCTTCCATCTGCCTTTAAAGATAAGTTTAATTTTTGTCCAAAGTTTCACATCTACTCCCATCATTGAGTAATCTCTCACTAACTCTTTGTAAGTATCCTTTTTCATCAGAATCATTGATGCTAAGATAGGAAGAACTATCAACCGATCTGGATTGACTCTACTTCCAAAATTCGGACAAGAGATAACGCTCTTGTTTAACTTGAAAGCTCTCATGAATAGATCTCTTAAGTCATGAACGATGCAGTCTTGATGCTTGCTCATGGTTTTGTGTTCATGCAGAGTTTCTTCGTCGAAGTCATTAGTGAGCTGTTCTTCTCAACGCTTCTTCAAAATCTCAAGTTCGTAAATTCTGAGTCTCCATCCATATCAGACAGACTGGTTGAACTTCCTGCAGACCAGTCTGAGTTGGAGAGACTGTTCGAGGTCAGTGAAGGTGAATACTTCGCTAAGGCTTCCGATGTTGAGGCTTAGCAAGGCGCTCTGGGTATTTGATTCCATTCTTTTGTAATTCAATATTTGCTTGAAAACTTGGGGTTTTGGGGTTTTGGGGTTTTGGGGTTTTGGGG